AATAAAACAGGGTGTCAATCAAAGTGAAGAATAAAATACTCCTTTAGTAGAAAAATAGTCTGCTGTGGGTCACAAACTGCCTAATCGTAGCCTGTGGTGATTTTAATGCAGTTGTTGGAGGCGGTAATGCCCCATGACCTGTACAGGCCTTCATAGGGAGTAGCCTACTTGCCCGGTGTTTGTTTCTGTTCCTAATGCCATGGTTTTAAGAAATTCTTTCTCTTCCATAAAGACATATTGTCCACAAAGGAAAAAATTACATTCAAAAATGTTCCTGTGTGTGGACGTTGTGCTACTTACCAGTGGGAGAATGGTATCCTGCCCTACAGAACTTACAGTCAAATAGAAAAACAAATACAAAGTATCTTTAAAATTCGCTGAAGTATGCAGTATATTTTCTGAGCAAGACAAAGACCAACTAAGGTATTACAAAGGCACTCCTGGAACCTCTTTTTATCACAATCAATGTACCAGACTTGGCATACATTGCGATGTGATGAATGCTAAGCTGTGGGCAGCTATTCTTGAAATTACGGTATTATAGCCCTACCCACATATGCTGTAATTAGATATATGACGCAGATCTCAGGATATAAAGGGATTTCCCTTTCCCTATGTCTGGGAGTCAGTGAGGGGGAGTGCCCACACTGCGCACAGCTCACTAGATGCATTGTGTTACACTGTGGGTTCTGTATACAGCCCCACAGATCTCTCTCAGTCTGGATTACCTGCAAGGACTGTATTGTATAAAACATCTGGTAAGTACTGTATTGTATCCCATGTCACATGTGTTATTGCCAGTCTGCCCATGTGCCTGTATCCTCCGTGTGTGTCTCTACTATCCGACTGTGTACGTGTGATTGTGCTGCAATGTTTCTTTCACTATTTAATTACATGCACTCTGTATCCGTTATTGTAGATTTTTTTTTACAATATTACAGTTCTGTCATTGTCAAAGCATGCAATGTATCCTGTTGAGTAAACCATGCAAAAAATGTACACTTTGCACTGCATCTATTATTTATTATCCTGCCTCTTCCAGTCATTGGAAGCTGTCGGTTCATTCTTTCTTAGCAGCTTTTGCAGACTACAACTCCCATGATGCTCTTCACCAGTCATTGGGTTATCTTGTCTTTTTCCCACGTAGGATGTTTGCAGGTCTTTGCTTTCTTTGCATCAGCTACTAGGGGCCTAGTTTTGACATATTTTTCAACATTACAAACTTTGTTCTAATCAGTAAAATGGAACTGTGATCATATGATGGATTATGTGTAAAAAAAACAGCAACGTTCTATGGAATATTCAGAGTAAGTAGTAGAGTGTTTTTTATAGCTAATGCCACATATGGTTTGCTTAATGTAGTAGAAGACTGGTAGTGTTTTTGCAGCTGGAATGATTTTGGGCGCCAACATTAAACTACGTTGCAAGAACACAGAGCTGGCACTAATCCCTCATTGGCATCTCTGCTACCAAGGATCCTTTAATACTGGGTACAGATGAGGGGAAAGATTTTGACTCACTTTATCAGATTATCACTAGGTGTACACAAATTGCAGACCGTGGAGTAGGATCGTTCCAAAGCAGATATTTTTCCACTATTTGTGTATTTTAAGAGTGTGTATATATATATATATAATGTTTTTTTGTTTGTTTTAAAGTGGTCTCTTGGTGAAATGCTTTATTTTATTTTTCCACGGGTTGCTGAAATCTCCTTTCATTCACCAGATTTGGCCGTGATTTTTGACATTCCATTAAAAAAAAGCAATGGAAAGCGGAGCGCAAGACACTCGTCCTCTGCTTCAGGGTATTTCCTATGAGTTAAGTTTTCCATAAGGCTAACGCAACATTGACTGCGACATGTATGAACAAAACGGTTGTAATCAGATCTGTAAAGAGAAGGCCGAGTGAATATATTCACAAACAGTGTGTGGTCATGAATTAAACTGTATGTAAAAATGAATACTTAGTTACTAGTTACTAAGAAAAACAAACCAATCTTGAACCTAGTAAATCCCCCTCAAAAAAAGCAGAACTGTTTTTTTTCCCAACTAGTATACTATCACCCATATTTTGTAGCTTGTTTGTTAAAACACTCTTTTTAAAAAAAATAACTTAAGGTGAACAGAGGAGCATTTCACGTTCCATGTCCATGTGCTTGGAGGTCAGAAATTATACTTTAGTAAGTGTACTCTTATGTCTCGGTAGTGGTTCTGGTTGTGGCATCTTGATAAGGTGAACAATTTTGTAATTTATCCTTTTCTTGTGGGTTATTCTTAGGGAGAGAGTAGTCAGATATTCGGAAATTACCTTTTATCAGTTTCTGTGGACTTTAATGATACCTTACGAATTCTGTTTCATAGAAACATAGAATGTGACGGCAGGTAAGAACCATTCGGCCCATCTAGCCTTATCTTATAGTTAGGATAGCCTTATGCATTCTGGTTTAGCTGAATCCAAGCACCCACCCTTTGTAAATGACAGGCAATAATCTAACCTTGTGGTTTGGTAGTTAATGTCAGTATGTGTGACAAGAAGATATTAATCTAAGAGCCTGTGTTTATTACAGGTAAGTCAAAACGTATCTGTCAACTTTGTTTTCAATTCCAGAATTATTTACTAAACTCTGGATTTTTTGTTGGAGAATTTTGCCAGATCAGCCTTTTACCCTTTTTTTTTTTTTTTAATTGTATACATTATTTTTATTTTATTTTTAAATTCACGGTATCTTGAATAACCCAGTGCTGTAAAGCAAACAGTAATGGGCCGTTGGACAACATGCCCTTGAAAACGTCTTGCAGTAAACCGTAGACCTAGACAGTATGGCCACGAAAATTGTTTTAACTCTTGAAACTGAATAGCAGCTCTCCCTCTGATGTCTATGGTAATAACCATTACTCATTTACCACTGATAGCCTTATCAATTAATATAGGATCCAGCCCTTAGACTTTCTTTATAGTTTTACAGCCTTCAAGAAACTTAGCAAACCACATAGATCATGGAATTTATTCTGAAAGATAACGCGTCCTACCAACAGTTTAAATTCTAATGCTATTCCAGGTTAATTATTGTCTTTGGTCATTCCAGAAGGTACTCTGGTGATGTTGAAAAACTTATTTTCTGTAGAGTATATATTGTACTATATGCTTAGTTTTTGAGTTTTGAGGAACGGTCCTGGACTCGTTATTAAAGCCAGCAGTGGTTGAAAGCTCTGCATTTTGTCTGTTTCCTCCATATCTAATATATTCCCTGTATTATTATTTATTAAGCGCCCACTAATTCTGCGGCGATGTAGAATGGTATTACAGTGGACCTGCTGAGTTTGGCCTCGGTGAAATTCATAGAGAGTGTTGCAGAGTTCAGATTGTCAATTCTTTAATGAAATCTTCACGTTTAGTTTTTCTCCTTTTTAATTTGTCTCCCAGCACTTGTAGTTGTTTCTGCTCCTGGAGCTGCCCTAACCCTTTCTATTTCCAGATGTGAAACACCCGAGAATAATGGTTGATAAATATGAAACTGGACATTTCTATACGTTTTGGTATTTCTGTTATTTCGATCAAGTGTGGACAAAATGCAGATACCCAGCTGTCGTAGAACTCGCCTAAGTAGTAGTACATGCATCAGACTAAATTGTATTACATTAGGAACTGCTATCTTTTACACAGTTTCAGGAGACCTCAACGTGTATTTTAAATGTTTACATATTTATGGTGTGGGAAAGAGATCGGCAGTCCCTGGTGATCTAATATGAAGTTTTGGCCGTCTGTTGTATATTTCGAATATTTTAATGCTAGAGAAAATAGTGTCCAAGCTTGGTGCCTTTAGTAACTGCTGGCACAGGTTGGTAAAATAGCAAAGAGCAATTTGTGCCATTATGGGTCCATATTTCTGTGAAGGCAGGAAGAAGGTGTGAATGGTCTGCACTGCTGTCTGACACTCTCACAGCTGACAATACTGCCTCTTACAGGAATTGACATGGTGTTTATCACTGTATCTCTTAATAAATCTGTCTGTGAGAGCGTCATTGGAGGGTGCTGTCAGTCATACTCAATGCATACACACCCCTGTGTATATGTAAATATTTACTTTATAGAGCCAGTGGGTGCACTCAAATGTTTACCTTCACATGTTCATACTGTGCCAGGAAACCATAGTGTAAAGACACCAATTGACATCTACTATAATGTCTGTACAGCGCTCGCTCAGCGCAGCAGAGAATCATAGGAATTGTAGGCCATAGACAACTCTAGAGCCACGGTTGCTTACCCAGGTTACTGAAATGAGAATTCAAAGTGAAGGTCAAATTAGCCAAATTGGAGAAAATCAGCTATGATTTAAGTTTGGCTACCTTGACCTAAAGTTTGAAATTCACTTTTAATTATCTCTTTAGTAAATAACCATAATGTTATATATATATATATTACAGTTTTTGATGGTTAACATGGCAGGCAAGCCAGTACTAAAACTGGGTACACTCCCTATGTTATTTATGTTTAATGTATTAAGTAAACTGTAAATGGATACTATTTATCTTAACACGTTTTACATTGAATATCTCCCAGCAAGCACCTGCCCCTGATTTGTAGTTGACTTTGTATAATTTGTAATATTTTTTTCAAATTGTTCTATAACATTGATACCACTAATGGCGGCTCTTGGGACAGCTGAGGTGTGTTAACTTCACGTTATATTCAATCAGGCTTTAGTTGGCAAGGTATGATGGGAAATGTCGTTTACAGGCCTAAACTGGGCCAAAATTAAAGTAAAGGTGGGGGAGTGTGTGACTCATATATAATTGTTCTGGCATCTGTCATGATGGGGTTAAAACTGAAGTTTAAAGAAAAAAAAGCAAAAAAAAAAAACGCAGACCTACCAGTTTTTAGCGTCTCCCAATTTAACTCCTGTGTTGCCTGAGACCTACTCCATTAAATCTTCCTTTTTCATTGACTCTTCCCTACATGAGGGACGAGGGCTGTTTTCTCCCAGGTGAAGGACCAGTTGCTGATGGATGGGGATTCCTGGAGATGGGATTTTATTTCGATTGTAAATCACATTGCCAGGGATTTCCAATTGCTAGCAACGCACTCATCAGATAATGACACCTGAAGAGCAGGGCATTGCCCAGAACATTCTCTGCCCAATGGATCCATCTTACCCTGTTCTCAGGGATGTCTCACCTTTAACAGTTTATATTTTACTTTGGAGTTTGAGCTGAAGAAGGTATTTTACTTTGGCATGAAAATGACCGTCTAAACAGATGCAAACTAAAAAGTTTCAGTGGATCAGGGCTTAGTTGAACTGTGAACACTGTCACATCACTGCATGTTCACAGTGGCTAAGTTCCGCTTCTCTGATGCCTTCTTCATCAACACAGCCTATTGGACGGCCAATTGATACCTAAAGTTGGTCCAGCATCCCTCTGAGCATCTCCAGTGCTTATTTGGTTAGAAGATCACGACCCTGTGGATCTGGCTGCTACCACCTGCCCATAATATGGGCCTGCCTGGTTCTGTCTCCTGTACCTACTGAGCTGATAATCGGTGGATAATATACATCTGGCTCAGTTCAGCAGGACAGGAGATAGAGCTAATTGACTTCCTCCAAGCTCACGTTACAGATACAATTCTTCATGTTTAAAGTATCATAATCATAGGCAATGTGTTATTGTGATTACATTATTTTATTAAAAATTTTTTTTAAAGCTTGCAAAGCCTACAGTTAGTTCCTGGGGACTTCATTGTCAATCTGTATATTTCCAAGGCTGACCATACCCACAAAAACACCTCTTCCACAAGGGGCATTATAAAAGGTTTAAGTAATATTACTAGGCAATCTCTGCTGTAACACTTGTTTTAAAATAACCTCTGGCTGTTGATTTGTTCGTAAGGCTCCGATAAAAATAAAAATTTGCAACTACATGGTCAAAACGTGTTCTTTTTGTTCACAAATCTATTTCACTTGCCTCTTAGTTAATTAGTACAAAAACAAACCACTAAGCTGCTGCACTGACAAGAGACCCATTCATAAGAGCCTTCATAAAACGTGCTCAATAAAAGCAATCAATACTGGCTGCTCCATATCGCCACCTGCTGGGTTTCTCATTCATAGCCATGTTTGTCATTTGACAGTGATCGGTGACTGCTAGGTTGAATGTTAGCTTTAGGGGGTCAAACCAGGTATGTTGTTGTTGGGTTTAACCCCTGCTCAGAACCTCCAACCTATAGTCATTTACTCATTATATCAATAAGAGTCCTGCATTTGTATGTAAATCTATGGAAGGGAATCCAAAATGGAGAACTGGCTACCACTTAATAAAAATTGCCATAGTAAAAGTATACCATAGTGATAAACATGGTATCTAAACATTACCTAGAGCGAGGTGTAAATTTTGCTTTAAGTGTATGAAAGAATATCCCAAGCACAATAAGCACCGCAACACATCAGTGGTGCACATAGGGCTTGTAGTGTCCTGGTCCTGTCTCATGGTAGTCAGTTTTAGTATGGATTGACAACTTACTCAGATCGCACCAAGCAGCCGCAGCTACATACCTCGCAATCAGATTCCTCCACAGCTCATAGCAGGGGCATGCTGATAGTGAGAAGTGTCAGCTGTTGTGCATTATTCTCCAGATACACCCAGCCTCCCTGGTAAGGTGTCAAACTGTAATAGAACCATTGGACGGCTTACTAAAATAAATTAAAAAAAAAAAAAAGCTAACCTAATTTGAGTGGGGGGAAATCTACGTTGCTATAATGACAGCTTAGTTATTTCAGCAAATGCTCCTTTGAAGCTCTGACTAAAAGTGCCCCTGCTCACTTCACTGTTCACTAACAGGCCATACTCTGATCTCAGTAAAGATTTGGTTTTACTCACTTTTCTCCCACACTGGTCTTGCAGTGGTTGACAATCCATTTCGAGGTCAACCAATCCAATGCTGTCATAGGGAAGCTATTGCGTATGCGCAGCAAAGCTCTACACTGCACCAATCAGCATCTTCTCAGAGACGCATTGAATCTATACATCTTTATGGGGGAATGTTTTCTATGATAAGGCAGTGTTTACAGCGCACTTCAGGGACAAACTATATATATCTATAGACTGTAAGATCGTTTGAGCAGGGTCCTCTTCAACCTATCATTCCTGTAAGTTTTCTTGTAATTGTCCTATTTATAGTTAAATCCCCTCTCATATTGTAAAGCGCTACGGAATCTGTTGGCGCTATATAAATGGCGATAATACCAGAACCACCTCATTAAGTGGTTCTTCTGGTGACTATATAGTGTCCCTTTAAGACCATTTGACAGCAAATCCTAGATCAGCTTGCATGTACCACACATGTAAGTGGCGTTAGCCAAATATTTCCTTTTAAGTCATCAGGAAGTGTTGAAATCGCTGGACTAAGCTAACAAATATGAAGTAAAAAAAATAAATAAATAATTGAGAGACTGGTAGGTGTTCAGCACCGCACCAGTTTGTGACACAGCTGGCAACATATTACCTTAAGAGATGACTAGTTTAGAAGTTTCATTTTGGTGTAAGGAATGGAAGCACATTACATGAAAAACAGTCAATGTTATTAACGATAATTGTCAGGAGGTAACCAACACAGCTGTGTCCAGGAAAGCACGGGAAGAAAGAACACTTTACAGTGAGTCATCAGGAAAGATCGGTGACTAATTATCAGCTACACCCAAGAAGAGAGACTAGTAGGAAAGATGGGACAGTAAGAAGATATGATGTGAGAAAAGTAAAGTAAAGGAATCTGAGAATAGAGATTATACTTTGAGCATATGATGGCAGCAGAGGTGATGCATCATATCAAGTCATACTCAACTGGTTTTATATAATAAAAATAAAAAAAAACCACGGAGCATGAGACCGATACTAATAACCACTAGAATGAACTGGTTTACTTGTTTAGCGTGCCATTTTAAGTACTACAATGGAGAAACAGACCTGGTTTGACCACATTTCAAAGTAAAAAAAAAAAAAAAAGTGTAAAATTAATCCTTAAAGCAAATCTGTCACCAAAAGGAAACTCCACTTAACCGGCTTCTGTATCTATGTGTGATTCCCCCATTCATAATAACTACATTAAAAAAAAAAAAAAAACACCACTTTATAGTGGGCAGAGCTTAAAGCAAGGTTCTGATTCACCCAGTCAGTAAGATCACTCCTATAGAAGGGCAAACATCCATTATGGTAGAGGAGAACAAAATGGCCACACCAAAAATGTGTGAAAATTTCTATACATATACACACACACACACACCCCTCCCCCCCCTCACACACACACCCCTGTTAACCTGACCTTGACCCAAAACTATTCTAAACCTAGCCCAACTGCATGTCCCCACCAAACACCCTTTACCAAGGACAGGCAAGAACATGTAAAGTCAAAATGCTATTCATTTAATCACACACAGATTACAGACTCCAGATATAAGAGTGATCATGTTAAAACGTATTGTAAACACTTTAATTATGTTTAAAAAAAAAAAAAATAATAATAATTTAAAAGTGTAATTATACACACAGCACAGATATGGTAAAAAAAAGGGTATTTATTTTTAACATTAATGCATTAAAAACCAAACAATTTAACAACTAAGTGCATATAGGAATGGCATAGGACTGTCCACATCCCAAATTTATTACATTTCATCCAGTGCATACATTTAAAAGATTCAGGTTGAGGTTTTGGGTTATATTGTTTGGGCAGAGAATAATCACGCTTGTTTACTGCACCCATACATCAGGTATGTAGGCACACCCATAAACCTAGTGCTAAGGGGAGCAGTTAGTACAGTGGTCACAACGCTGCCCCCATGTGTTATAAAGCAAGTGTTTCACTCAAACGATTTGCCATCAGTCTACAAAAGAGGGCAGTTTTAGAATTATGGACACGACAAACGATACAAGTGGTCCAATGACAATTCCTTTAATAGGACAATAGGAGTTGCAGTCCAACAGTGACTTGAAGGATACAGTCCCTTTAAAGAGCTTGCACTGAACCAACAAAAGCATAAAGTTTACCATGACATGTTCCTATTGGACTATGTAAAAATCATTCTGGTACATTTTATAATTGCATTATAAAACAGGACCCCCAACCCCATTAAAAAAAAAAAAAAAAATCCCCCCCTCAATACTCCCAACCCTATTTAACATGCCTTAGGCTAACCCATATGGGGGTGAAAGAAGAAGAAAAAATATATATATTAAAAAAATCAAATCAAAACACCCCTCCCCTTCCATTTAACAAAGGCAAAAATAGAGTTTATTAGGATGTATTCATATCATAAAGGGATTTCAAACCTTCATCTAATTAGGGGGGTGTGCGTATGTGAAAAGCAGGTGGCAACAGCAATGGGAAAGGGGTTGGTATAAAGATTTGAAGCCATTACAGCAACAGTAATCCAAGGAGAGAAGAACATGGGGCCAGATTAATTTTCCGGCACTTAAAACTGTACACATTTCCCCCCCACCTACCAAACCATTTTCTGAATTTTGTGTTGTAGCCCAATTGTGGCAGCATCAGCATGCGCAGGCCTTAACAATTCACAGTAGCAGCTAGCGAGCACAGTGGCTGATTATTTCCTGCACTTGCTGTAATAGTGTGGAATACATGCAACAGCATTAGAGTAAAACATCTGGTTGATTTAGAAAACGGTTTAAAAAAAAAAAAAATGGGGAGGAGCAGGCAGCTGGGTAGGCAGAGAGGATAGGGATAGAAGTAGTATTCAAGAGGGACAGAGCAGTCAGCAAGTGCAAAAGGTTGTCTGGAGGACTGGGTGAGAATGAGAAAAGTATGAGTGGAATGTATAAAAAAAAAATAAAAAAATAAAATAAAAAGTTTATAGAGAGTGCAAAAGAAAATCAGTAAAATAGTGGATTTTCTAAGCAAGTGCTTCAAATTATAATTATCCACAAGAAAAAGTTAATATACAAAGCTGCCAGATACACTAAAAACCTTCCCAAGTTTTAAAACATCATACACGACATAAATTGAAATAAAAACAGTATCAGCGCTTAGTTAATATACCCCTATTTTTTGTATAGGGGTCAACAACGAAAATATATTAAATAAAGAGTCCCGGTTGCAATCTTCATGGGGTGCTTTCAAATGTCCGCAGGGATTTGATCGTTGTAACAGTAATTGATGTTAAAAGACTTTGTCTTTATATGTATCCAACCTTTAATCAAAAAGATACCGACATAGCGTGATAAAGTTACAATACTTCATTTCCCATACGGTAATCCCCCCATAAGAGGAACTCTTACAATAAAAAGTGGTGAAACTTATTTCTAAGGTTCACAATAAAAGCGTAGAAATGCAGAATATTGGTTGGTGAATATAGAGTTACCGCTCCGTGGGTGTTAATTCCAGACCAGTCCTGTGCACTCGGATCGATCCTCACTGAGACGCCAACTAGCCAGTATTGCTGCGGTCTCTCCAAATTCAAAAATCCCGCCAGAAACACGATCTACGCGTTTCGCTCATTCAAACGTGCTTTCTCAAGATAGTGTTCTGGGGGATTATGGTTACATATGTATATCAATTAAGTAATTAAAAAAC